AAAAAAAAAAAAAAAAAAAAGGAAAAGGGAATTTCTTGATGCTGTACAGAATTTTTATTTTTAAACTGTCTTTTAAATAATATATTCTTATACAGAACTGGGTACTGCACTTTTCTTTAGTAGGGGCGTCTGTGCTGGGGCTGCTGCAAACCACAGACACCTCCCCTGTCCTCGTGTGGAGATGAAGGACCCCGTACTTTGATCAGACGAATCAGAATGATTGCCCAGTGCGGTGCCGTGTGCACACCCTGTGTACATTCAAAATTAAACATCAGCCTGGTGCCCAGAGTGCAAGGATGTGCACGTATTCTGTTTGTGGGCGGGGGGCGTCGCAGTGCCAAGGCCACACACTCAGACTGAGGCAGCGCTGGGGAAGTCCGTGGGCATGAACATGCCACAGGGCTGGCATCCACTTACAGGCGGGTGGGAATTTAACATTAAATTGGCAGGTAAGAAAAGGAGCTAGTGTACATGTGCCCTGGAGGGGGTCTGCCTCGGGTGCAGGGAGAGCCATCCTGTCTTCCTGCCTAGGTTTTAGGGACAAGCACTGGGGACGTTCTGGACGGCACTGTGCCCACAAAGGGAGGGCCAACCCCCAGCTTGGTGGTCAAGCTTGGACAGGTGGCCCTTGCCTGAGCTCTCAGCCCCCTACATGTGCTTAGACCCCTCACTGCTCCCCGGGGCCGTGGGCTCCCTCTCTGCCCCCCTCTAGGGATAAAAGAGGCTCCACACTAAAGAACTGACCTAAAGGCCATCTGCAATCTGAGCTCGGTGACATTGCATTTGTTCAGTCTGAGCCTTTATGCCCCATTGGTGAATTCCAGAACATTCCTCCTGGCCTTTGAATAATTCATTTTCAACCTGTGAAATTTTCCATCTCTTCTTGAATCCAGTGCACTGTGAACAGGGCACAGGCTTCTACACCTCTTAGGTTCTTTTGTTTTTGTCTTTGTTTTCCATTTTAATCCTGCTAAAGACGATACACAGGGTGGCTTTGACTAAAACACGATCAAACCTTAGCAGGAGTTCAGCTATCAGTGCACTTCAGCCTACATGTCACCCACACAAAAGATTGTTACCTGCTCTCCCCACTGGGGAAAGATTCCCAGAACAATACTTTCTAGCATATGCCGAATGTCTACTTCACCAAACTCTGTCTCCCTTATCAAACTTCATACAATTACTGAATTTTATACTCATGCAGATACATGCACACTTACATACACATATACATGGCCATACATAGGGCCACACATGTCTGCACATGCATACATACACATACACAGCCACACATATGCATGTGTACACATCACATACACATGTCCACGTACATGCTTATGTGATCATACAGATGTGTTCACATATATACTTAAGTGTGTACTGCATAATCACATATACATGTGTGTCCAAGTACGTGCATATGCATGCATATAGGCACAATCACGAGTGCACAGGTGTTACAAACATGTACATGCTTACATATATGCAATCACACACATACACACACTCTTACATGCTAACACTGTGTCCCTCACTGGGTTTGGGTCATACCAAGTCCTGGGACAGAGGAGTCAGCTAAGAAGAGGCATCTGTAGGGAAAGGACACCAGGCAGCCTGTGACAGTCCTGTCCTTGTAGCCACCCTGGCTGCCATTGGTGGGGGCCTTAGAAATAGTGCCAGAGCATCAGGTTCCCCACAAATTCCCCCTCCATCTGTTCCACATATGTCCACATGGTGTGGGTGGTTCCTCCCCACTAGCTGAGCCCGTGGGTGTGGTGCAGCCCCAGCCTGAGCTCCATACAGGGCATGCCCCTCCCTTTGCCACCAGTCAGCCTCCTGCCACAGACCAGCCCCGAGCCCAAGGACTGTGGCCCCGTGCACTGTGGGCAACCTGCTCGCCCAGAGCCTGGGTCTCTGATGCCCTGGGACACACCACACACGTCAGCTGAGCCAGCAACCTCGCAGGCGACGAGGCTGGGGAAGAGGATGTGGCCACTGCGCAGGCATCAGAGTTAAGGCAGCAGGAAGGGTGAACCACCGAGAGCAGGGCCACACACCAGGGACAGCAATGGCCGCGCTCTCCACGGGAGCCAGAGCCGCCACTGTACAGCCCCGCCTCCCTCACGGTGTGTTCACACAGGGAACAAGAGAATGCTGTTTCCCATGGTTTTTCTCCCCAGATATCTAGCAACTCAAGGAATGATGCTTGTGTCACAACTGGATCTCCAATCTCCCTCCTAAATATCACTCTGGGAGCTCAGCACGTGACCAGCGGCCTTGGGTGGGCAGTGCGCAGCCCACCCGTCTCCCCCTGCCAGCAGAAAGGCAGAAAGCTCTGCGATGCTGCCTGGCCTCATGGGTAAGGGCAAAAGAAAGAAACGTCTGTTACTCCCACCAGGATGATGTCCTCTGACCCTTGCCCCTACCCCACCCCTCGTAGACCCCTGTTCTATCTCAGACCACAAACACCCTCCGCTGCTTTCTTTATTTGCACATCAGAAGCCAGCAGGACAGTCTTCGTTGGCATCTTTAACCAAATTCCAGAGAAAAATCGATTCACCGTGAGGGTGAATGAACGCTGAACACACAAAATACTTATTCCCACGTAAACCCCCATTGGTGGGAGCTGCTGGCTCTGGTCCCCTGTGGTGCAGAACACTGCTGCTCCGCGTGGCCAGGTCCCTCGCATCTGTCCCCGCAGGAAATGCCACACTCCATTCTTGCTCCACAGGCAGCTGGGCACAGGGGCCACACCCGCACCCAGGAAACAGCTGGCAGCCGGTGGGTTGGGCAGATGCGCAAGAGAAGAAGGCTTCACTCTGTCATCTGCTCTTCCAGCATTGCCAGGAGAGCTTGAAATTTTTAAATCAAAATAATTTAACTGTTATCTAAGAGGCAGATAAAACCACTGCTGTTGATTTGGAGGGGCTGTTCCCTATCAGTAGCTGAGAGAGGCTTGGGATCCAGTGTCACCCCGTGTCCTCAAGTGAGCTCCTGGCCTCACGGCAGGGCTTCCAACCTGCATTGGGACCCCGGGAGCTGTGCACAGTGGAGCCCGCCTTTCGGCTCACAGAGCAGCTTGCCGAGAAGCCCGCAGGGATTCACTGCAGGGAGCACCAGCCCTGTGCGTGCTCACTCCCCTTGCTGGGGGCTGAATGCTGGCCCCGAAGGTTGAAGGCCTCCCCGCAGCACCTCAGGATGGGACTGCATTTGGAGACGGGTCTTCACAGAGGTGATTAGGTTAAAAGGAGGTCACTGGAGGCCCTGATCCAACCTGACTATGTCCTTACCAGAGAGGACACATGCACAGAGGGACGGCCCAGGAAGACATGGGAAGATGGCATCTACACTTGGGAGAGGCCTCAGCAGGGAGGGGCGGTGCCGAGGGGATCAGCCCTGCCCTCACCTGCACCCCCAGTGGGCCTCCAGGACTGAGGGAAATGATGTCTGTTATGTGAGACACCGGGTCTATGGCGCTTTGCTACAGTCACCCCAGGACATCGACACCGCCCTCATCTCTGTCCCTGGCTGCTGACATGGCGCCAGTATGCAGAGTGCCCAAGACAGACTGAGGCTGGGCCACCTGGCCGGCGCCGGATGGCCCTGCAAGCCAGCAGCTACCCTCCCTGCTCTGGGACAACGTGTGTCTGGGGAAGACGGGCCCCTCCAGACCCTGGAGCCCTCTCCCATCCTGGTGCTCCCTGGGCAGAGCACTGCCTGCACCCCACACGCAGTCTGTCCCGGGTCCTCTCCAGGGCTGCTGGGCCTTGCCAGCCTGGAGAGAAGCCTGAGGAGAGGTGGAGGCTCTGTAGGATTCCTCAAGGTTCAAGGCCTCGGGAAGGCTCTGTTCCTCGCGAGCAGACACGAGGGGAGGAAGGCGGCCCTTCGGAAGCACCAGGCAGCCAAGGCCATGCCCTCCGTAGGGCATTTCCATACCGAAGCCCAGTGCCCGGCATCCCCATGACCTTCAGCAACACTGATCCTGGCCCAGCCACCTCTGTCAGTCTCCAGAGCCGGGGGACCCTTTCTCATAAGAAGGAAAAAAATCCTTTCCCAGGTGATGTACCTGCTCTTCTCTTTGAAAACGCAGGGCTGCAGGTGCTCTGGAGCTCGGCTGTGCACGACGGCCGGACCCCAGCCCTTGTGGAGGACTGAGGCCAGGGAGGGGACGTCCAGCTCATCCAGGGAGAGGTGGAGGTGGGGTCTGGGGACCACTGAGGCCATAGGTCTGGCCGGACTTGGCAGTGGGTTGCGAGAACCAGGGAGAGATGTTGCCTGCACTCGCCAAGTGCCTCACAGGGGGACCAAGCCCTGCTGGCCGCAGCCTTTGGGGCCAAGCCCACGGGAGGGGGCCTGGCTCCTGGGCCTGCCCTGGGGCCCCACTGCTCCAGGGAAGGTCTAGCAGCCCAGAGGCTGATGTCCCAGGACCGCATGCACCTCGGGAGCACCCTGGTGATGGGTATGTGGATCGGAGCTCAGACATGTACTGAATGGATGGATGAATTCAAGTTTGTGGCTGGTGACAAAGAACCACGTAAGAGACAAGTGGCACTGCTGAGTGGGGTGGGGCTGGGGCAAGGGTGCCCAGCTGGTGTGGGGGGGTGTCAGAGTGTGTGGGGGGGTGTGCGTGTGTGTGTTAGTGTGTTTGCATGTGTTTGACCAGGTGTGTGTGGGTGTGTGAATGTGTATTTGAGTGAGAGGATGTGAGTGTATTGTAAGCGTGTATGTACTGTGACAGTGAGTGTGTGAGTGTGCACATTTATGTGTGTACTGCCCCTCATGGGTGCCTAGCCTCACTCCCAGCTGGGAGAAAGCAAGCTTAGTGGCAAGCATTCGGCCCGGCCAGGTTTCCACACCTGGCAGGGAACAGGGTGAAACCAGGGACACTTGGGCTTCACTGAGCAGCACGGGGACAGGTGTGAGGGAGAGGCGGCAGACACAGATGGCAGGCCCC